ACGGACTTTGAGAAATTTACATCGGGACGACTATGTTGTACGTGCTCTACACTGCGTGACGCGTATTATGGCCTGTCTGCGATAAAGACTATTGGGGTTATATAGGCCAACAATATTATCAATCTTTAAACGGTTTTGTTCAGAAATAATCATATCAAGAATTAAAGCAAACTGACTAGGTTCAGTAACAAAGATCATTAAGTTGAACGAAGAAATTGACTGGAGCGGAATTTGAACTTTAGTGCCACTTTCGGAGTACCGTACGGTCAATCTTCATATCGCTTTTACTTTTGAGTTATTATTCATGCACGCATGCGCATTTTATAGTGTACATTCAAGTTGGGCGTGATGGCAGTCCATTACGCCATATCGTGTCCTTTTCTTCAGCCAATTTTGACTGTATATCGATATGATTACTTTGAAAGGTTTAACCCTCGAAACTATGAAAACATGTCGCCCTACGGGATGTTTGTTCGGTTTATGTAGCCAACTGGTCTTTACGAGGATTGAATTAACACAAAATGTTAGAGGGTACTTCTTTGTTTTAGCTCGAGATAAACTTGATTAATATATCACAGAAGGCCCCCCAAAAAATCTTTCGGAAAAAAAACCCAGAAAGGCGAAAGCACAATCGTCGTTTTCCTCCGCAAAAACTTGTTTTGACCTGATACAGAATGAACTCTACGTTCGTTTGAGGCGTTGCGATTGAATCATTTGTCTGGTTGGCATTTTCCTTCGGGAGGCAGACAGACTCCTTACTTGATTTGATGTGATTTAATAACCAGGTGAGGTAACTTAATCAAGAGACGCCTGCTTGTTTCCTGGCCCTATTTTCCTCGTTTGTGCTATCTAGATAATGCTGACGTGCAGTGGGGTCAGTGCCTTTGCTGTTGTCTTTTTAACACGTACAAGCCCCTACTGTTTTTCTTTCTAACATGGGTAAGAGTCAATATCCTGCATTCGGCTTGAAGGGCTGTTCAAAGATTGCAGTTTGATGTCTTACATCTAGAAAACGGGCAAAGATGATTGTCGCCCCTCGACGCGTATCTTTCTACCCTCATGTTTTGCCGTACCTAGTCAAAGCATGGACTCCTGATAGGCTGGTGATGCTTATCGATTTTGATAAACAACACTGCCTCTTGCCCTGCCTTCAGGGGACCAGACCAAACCAAACATGACTGTTTTGTGCCCTTTATTCCGCTGTAAGGTAATGCATAACTTGTTGACTACAGAAAACTCGGAGAGGGAAAACTTGAAAACCACGCGGTAGGTTGCATTGAGTAGGTTTTCAGCTCAATGTCGTGTTACAAACGAATGCTTGTTATAAGCAGAGTAATGTTGTAATGACTCGAGTCAGTGACTCGACTGGAGTCCGACTCGAGACGCAATGTTTGGCGACTCGACTCGACTCGAGGTCTCACGGGTAACTGACTAGACTCGACTCGAGTCACTGCGAGTAAATGACTGGACTCGACTCGAGTCCCTCATCAGAAGACTTGACTCGACTTGAGTCGAAAGGTAATAAATCACTCGAGTCCCAAAACTATGCGGTGATATACAAAGTGAAGCATGTTGGCGTATACTTATAGTTATCATCAAGTTGTGGCCGGTCATCAAATATAAATAATACGCTTCTAGACCTAATGACTCGAGTCACTTCCTTAAATTGACTCGTCTTGACTCGAGTCACACAATTCAGTGACGCGTTGAAACTCTGTTGTTAATAACCAATCTCGTGTTCGCATCTCTAACAGATAGAACGCTTTCCCTGAATCGAAACACTGAGTTTAAAATGCTTGGTAAATGTCATAAGAAACATAATGTTGACCACTGGCGTTTGCGCGTTATGATACGTGATTATACCTGGTTGCCAAAAAAAAATACGCACTCTGGACAAGACCGTGGCTTTTATAAAAGAGCTCTTGTACTGAGGTACTGTGATCTTTCTGTTCACATATCGTGTTTATCTAACCTTCCTTCCTAAGCCTGGTAAGTTCAGACAGATGTCTGTACTTTCAAACGGTAACTAATGGTTTTCGGCTGGATAAATTTGCAAGTGTTTTCAACTGAACTTCACAAAATAGACATTATGCATCGACGCAACGAAAGCTACATCATGATGAACCCTAGTCTTGGGGGAGCACCGTATTTCCCCAATGAAAGAGAAATTTGTCGTGAAGTACATCTACCTCAAGTTTTTTTGTGGTCAAATTACAATTTTGCAATATTGTTTTTATTTGAGTTATTAATTTGTATCTATTTTTTTTTTTAGATCGCAAAACCATTTTCAAATATTCATCAAACGTTTGGTCTATGTAATTGACATTATTTATCGGCGAAGAAAATGTATTGACTTGGATGAAAACATTTTTGTTTCGTCTTGCAACTTTCATGCAGCTTGTATTTACTGCCACCGTTCGATTCAGTATGCGTTTTATACTCAAATGAAGCGGTCATCTCTCGCTCAATTCTGTCACTTATTTGATTAATGTATCATCTTTAGCCTACACTATAGTTATATGGTGGCATTATACCCGATTGCTTTGGTTTGAAATTTAAGTAATTTTGTAAGTCACTGACAAGATTGGCTTATAATGACAATCTCTTAAACGTGTTTTTTCCCCCTCATTTCGTGGAGTAATCCTCCCGTGCAATGCTTCTATCTTAATGTTGGTTCTAGAAATTGAAATAGAAATGAAATGAATTGAATTGGATCGACGTCTTCAACATTTTGAAGGAGCCCCACCTGGCCATGATGCTAGCCCAAGTTTGTGAATTCGATCGTTGAGTTCGTCCCTTGCACGGTCTCATCTTATGACAGCAAAACGTGTATTAAAAACACTATAACCCGTCTGTACAAGCAGTGTCAATCAAATCTTGCCCGTGTTTTCTCGTGTGTTTGGCGACGTAAGCTAATGACATCGCCTGTGGTCTATGCTTGAAGTATATACGACGCGAAGGGAGAAATAAGCTGGCAATGGAAGTGGTATCCATCATTTAGCTCATCCAGATACTTTCATAAAAACCGAATGTCAGAGCAGTTTAAACTTCCCTCTTTTTGTGAGGGGGGGGGGGGGGGCTCTGAGGTAAGACTTTTCATTAAAGCCACTATTTCTGCGGTTTTGTTTTTGGTTCAAAATGCAGGCCAACAAAATACAAGGCCTGGCGAATGTTGTGCGAAGCGCGCGCCGTTTATGGAGATCTGCGGAAATTAATAAAGACACCGTAACCCCAAGGGGGCAACTCCGCTAGGTTCCCGGTCAGAGAATCCGGCAACATCAATAGCGAGACGGAACCGGCAAGAAAAGGGAGATTGCGGTGATGAACTCCCAACCACCTTAAGAAAGATATGGAGGCTTTTTCGATCTCAAGAAGGAGTAAAGAAAGGTGGGAGATTTAAGTGACTGAATGTGGGCTAAATCAATATTGGCAGTGTGCTCCAAGTTGCCTTGCTGAATAGAATTGTTATCGAGTGGCCGGTGACAGGCCGGCTATTTCACCCACACCTGTGTAGGTGCCTGCGAAGAAATCTTCACTCCACACGATCTTTACTCACGGAAATGTACTCGTCTTGAGTTTCAAACCAATGAGAGATTTTCAGTGAGGCTATTAGAGGTTTAATTAAAGGCTGGATGACCTAGAAGGGTACTTGTGTTGCTGATTATCACGTGAAATCGCATTAGAGTGACCTTTGATATGGGTATGATTATAGTATAGCGCTGTAACTCGCACAAAGGAGGTGGAATTGGCCATGCTCACACATAAAGTCCCGGCGCAGACTGAGTCGATGCAGGGTTTGGATACCAGAGGAATGGCCTGACAAATCGAAAATTTCATTAAGATAATTTTGGACAATGTTGTCGACTTTAACTTGAGCCACGATCCCCAAGTCCGTAAGCGACGATAAGCAACACAATGAAGGTCTTTATTAATAATGAAGTAACTATATAAATTATGCACAAATGCCTATCTAAGCAATACAACACCATTGCCCCCTGACCCCGCCTCAACGCATAAGGCCTATAGCACCACAATTTAATGGTACACAGTATATCATTTGCAGCTATCCAAAAAGTAAGTGACGAAGTTATTGTTGAAAAAGCTTGCTTGGTTTAAAAATGGGATAGCAATAAACTCCATGTGAAATTATTCTTTCTGATATGCTGTCAGTTTGAAGAAAACAATTAAAGAAGGCCATTTCCAAAGATGCATCAAGTGACACATTTTTGGAAATATCCGTTTTGTAGTTGGTTTGTATTTCGGCGAATCGGTGAATGGGTGCGCGCAAGCGTTGACACGACGCACACGCGCGCGCGATTTCTACTATTCGTCGGTTCAGTGCGTGACATCGCATTGTTGCAATCGGTTGAATGAGAATGTGTCGCGGATGCTGATTTTGGTCATAATACAAAACAGGACTCGGCAGCTTTTCAATTGAAATCGAGACCCTAGAATATTGTGTTCACGGTTGTTAAGCACCCGTCTTTAGATTTTGAGCACTTTTGTTGCTTCAAACGAAACAATGCACAAATGACAAATGATTTACCCTACCTTTAAACATGGTTTAATTTAATGCATACATGTACACATTGGTAGCTGTTCTGCTAATGAAAAAAACGACATTGAAACCATTTTCTACTCAGGTGTTTTGTACAAGAATGGACCCTTTTAGTTGCATCGACACAACGGTTTTATCAAAAGAGCCTTTTTCCCCTTTCATAAATACTCGCATAAGCGTTCACATACGGGCAGCACAGCAGCGTTAACCGTTCACCTTAAAATTCTTGTAGACATAAGAATAAACAACCCCCACTCCGTAATTAGCTTGGCATGTGATTGTGTTTTATTGAACGACCTTAACAATACTACAAGGAAAGAAAGCATCGAGAGATTTTCATAAATACCCCCATAAACGTTCACATACGGGCAGCACAGCAGCGTTAACCGTTGCGTTCACCTCAAAATTCTTGTACATAAGAATAAACAACCCCACTCCGTAATTAGCTTGGCATGTGATTGTGTTTTATTGAACGATCTTAACAATAATACAAGAAAAGAAATCATCGAGAGAAAAAAATACTCACTTCTAGAATTGCAGAGTTTTTACAATTTGCACAATATTTGATTAGAGTCGGATGTCTGCATCAGTTATTTGAACAAGTACTGAAACGTTACTAGATATCTTCCATATGTAATGTCAATTGTTGTGACGTCATCGTTAGTGAAAGGTACCTTACACCTTGATAGAATTACGTCTATGGATGCGTCTACACTGCATAACGAATAGTATTGCCTTTGCGGACTTGTTTTGCGCTTCGTAGTGTAAAGAGCTTTCCTTTGACAATATTTAATTCAATTACGATGATGCGTTTTTTTCCCAGAAGAGTGTTTCTTTGTGTCAGATTACAAAACGCTATTCAATTGAACAGAATATTAAATACAAGCCTTGCTAAGGATTGACTGGTAAGGCGGGGAGTGGTCACTGTTCACTGGCATAGTATACGACAGTTCCTTCATTTCTGCAATGGTTCCAGTATGGATCAACCTACCAGATGCCATTGTTGGTCTTCCTATACGACAACAGGAACCACGGCCTTCCGCTCAAGAATACATAACTTTCTTAATCATTTGTATTTTTTTCTTCGAATCAAAAGACTTTGCACACAATGTGTACGGTTATCATTACTGCACTCTGTTATCTTTCTTTTGCTTCCTTTCGGTACAAGTGGGCACTGCTTTTCCAGTTCTTATCCGTTAAAAAACAGTGTCGTTATCTCCAAGAACTTTCTCCTAAAACATAAAACATTCACCAGTAATGGACAAGCTTTCAAATGAAACATGGTGCGACGTTGCGCATTTTACTTTTTTTATGTGGAATTTGTAGAACGGATGAATCTAATTCGTAGCAGTAATAGGTGAGTTAGTAGTCTCATAAGGGCATCAAGTTGGCCATATCATTCCATCTATTTAAACCTTTTGGTATAAACGAGGTCGTTAAGGCTAGTTATTACTCATGATATCCTGAAAATGTAGGCCCATACAGACATAATACCTGATTCCGAATGCCTAAAATAATGGGTAATGTTTGAGCTGTGTATGAGTCGTGTTAGATTCCCGTTAAATAAGTGCACAGTGCATTATACATTGCATTAGATCTAAGATGTCATACCTATTATTGCAAGTATTTCGTATTTCCATGAATCTATTCTATAAAGTCTTTGTGTTTTTTTGTAAGCTAGGACTATTCCAACGTGAATACGTGAACAGTTATTTACAAAGTTTTCATACGAGATTCTGTCCGTCATAGCAGCTACTTGTCACCACTTAAAGGGTCTTTCCAACACGAGCTTCACACTCGAAACGTCACTGGATAAATTAAATATAATTTTAAGACCCTTTGGCTTAAATATAAGGTAGGAATCTATAGCGTTGTTTATTGTAACAGGTAATTTCTACCACTTTTGGAGTTCTACATGTTGAAAAATAAGGCAGTACACACTATCATCCCATTGCGCCTATTCATAAAAGCTTTAAGACTATATAGATGTGCTGTGCTCTATCATATATCAACTAAACGCTACTGGCCATATGGAAACTAAAGCGCAGAACTGATTTTTTATTTTCTAAAATCGAGAAAAACTGTTACAATTGCGTATTTCAGTCAGACAAACGTCGTATCCCTTTCGGGTCGTATTTTCATTGATCGGTACCGTCATTAATTACTTCAGTCATTTGAAAATAATTTGCGAAATATTCTACGATATTTGACAACTACGTGCAACATTTTTTTTTAAAGTTAAAACTATAACAGAAATAAGAATAAAATGTGCTTCAGTGTCGTGATTTACGATTTCAATTAACCAAACTTTGTTTAAATTGAAAATATGGAACAATGTAAAGTCACAGTTCCTTATGACAGGTATGCACGGGATTTACATGGAGTACATCCAGTGTCAAACATGAGTCTTTCAAAACCCATGATATTTAGTCAGGATATTTCTGTTTTAAAATTGTGAAATTATAATTTTGTCTTTTAGCTGCTGACTTGTTAGATTTCTTCGCAACAAAAGGAACTGACACTATATCTTAAACTTAGGATTCCAATTCAATTGCAGTGATTTTTTTTGTCTAGAAAGTAATAATGTCAACCTTTTTTTGCAGTGTTGAGTTCCACACAATGCAAAGCGATACAAGTTCAATTGGAAACGTCCTGTTGGGAATCACCAAAAATATGTTCTTTGGGAGTTGAAGAGGAAAGTTCTTTCAAAATTCTATCGAAAACTGGATTAATGTGTTTTCTTGATACCGCATTGCATTGTGGGCCTCATGGAACCAAGTTGGGATGGTAGGGGCGATAAGATTAAGGCTGACGCAAGAGGGCGTCTATCAGCCTCTCTTTCAGTCTGTCCTTAAGGTTCCGCTGTCCTGTCTCGGCTGTTCTGCAAGCTGTGTCTAATGAACAGCTCCCTAGACAAAACACGAAAAGGTGGAGAAAGAAATTGAATTATTGAAGGAGCAATTATTCATGTGAAAATGAAGACAGATCCCCCTAGGCGTCGTACAGAGCATTTTGCATGTAAGCGTCGGGCGTGCCTGGCATGTTTCCGTGTTAGCTTAAACAGTTAAACGACCGTGCAATTCTGTTTTAATGGCATATAGGTTCATTTGCATTTGCCCCAAAAGTGACCTACCGAATTATTTAAAAAAAAAACTTACATGGATAATAAATCGTACTGGTAAGAAACACCCTTGAAATTATTCTGTCTGGCTTGCTGTCATTTAGACGAAACCAAGAGTGCTATAAAATAACGAAATCTTGTCTCGTGATCAAAACGTTACGCATGGTTTTTCACTGTTTTCTCGAAAAGTGTATAGTATCTACTGTGTTGAAACTTCAAATGATTGGTTTTGAACATTCTTCTTTGGATTTTGAGTGGTGTTATTGCTGGAAACGAACAAAGTGCATGATCAGCAAGTGATTCTATATGCCTTTACACAATTAGGAGTGGAGGCGTCGAATTTCTCCCCAACATTTTTACTTCCTTTGGCGACGACACCAACATGGTTTACTACAATTATGTTTCTCATCGATTTTGGCCACCGGTTTCTATCGATGCTCAAGAATACGCACGGACAGATACGGCAGACATAAGAAAACTTCCTTTTTTAGGACTAGGGAATGTTTTAACGGATGTGCAGCCTTGCAAATGCTATATGCGTCATTGAGAAAATATCAAATCGATTAGTTTTTGTCTGGGAGACACGTGTTATGATAAAGATTTCTTCTAATGCAATAAATACAGTGACGTACATTTTAATGTGCGACAGATTACGCTCACGAAAGTTGCAGTTTAAGGTACCGTAAAGCGTTTTAAAGCCCTTCAGACACCTTCAGTTTTGATACGACCATCTTTGACCCGAGTACCCACGTTTTAATTCAATAGGGTACCGGTACCTGGTTCCCGAACTACCCGTAAGTGCACACCACCAGTACTATTGAATTCCCACTCTAATGTTTGAGTTATCTTGACATTTTACTCAAGAATTTTCCCCTCGCGTTTTCCCCTCACGTCCAAAAGTCGACATTTATAGGCTTTTCTCTGGGTTTCTTTGGGTTTCTAAGCTCTAATGTGTGTGCACTTTTGAGAAACTCTTAAATTCATTACAAGTCATAATCGATTAAACTTAAAACAAGTGAAAATATTTTATGACCTGATCCAGTGGAATGAAAGTCAACCTGTCACTTAATTGTTTTTTTTTAAACATGCAGTAGGAAGTGCATACGATTTGCCTATCATTTTGATTTTCACCGACTTATATAAATGTTTAATAATAGATTAGTTGGGTGAAAAGGTTGAGTTTTTTCCCATTTATTTCAATTGTTAAACATTATGTAAAGAACAATCACTCAAATGTTGGTCTGGGGACTTGTGCCTCATTTTCATGGGTTGATCACATTGGTACTTTTTTTTGCAGTGCTGCATATCAAAGGTACAGACCTAGCACTGAAATATCATTTTTTATTTATGATCAAACGAAAGGCCAATGCCCAACAGGTATTGCCCGTCTCCTATAATGCTCATGCAAACGAGTTTAGCCACTTGTCAATTCAACACCCTCTATCATCGATGAGAATGTTGCTGGAACATGATTGCAGTATCATGTTTCAATCCTTCAGTGTCATTTGGAGCGGAGATAAGTGTTTTGTCTCTCCACAACTCAACATCGCAAAAATGAGTTGTAGAAAATGTCATTCCGAATCCGGATAGGATTTGTCTGCCTATAATAGTGTTTTCCGGAGTAGTGTGGGGAACCTCTAAAAGGGCATAATCAAATAATCAAACATTTAAAAAGTTGCTGTCCTGCGTTAAAAGAGCATAGGATCATTTGCTTTTTGGGTGTTTTTTTTTTGAAGCGACAAAATTGTTCAAAATCTGACGAAGAGTGCAAAGCAACTAAGTTGTTGAAATTTCAGCTCAGTGGAGATTTTGCGCAAACAGAGAATACGTATGCACAGTGCTTGGATTCCGTTGCTAAAGCACAGTTTCAATTGTGTTTTATTCTCGAATAATACCGTTTCAGGCGGATGATAATTTTGTTTTAGTCCTATCTTCACCTTTTGAGCAAGGAATTCAGTTGGTTTCGGGTAATTGCAAATGTATACGTGCCTTTAAAATGTGCTGCAGTTTGTTAATCGCGTTGTACATTTTGCTAATCCCAGAGGTCCAGACGATCGTCTTTGACCTAGATTCCACTGTCACTATGACTGCAACAAAAACCTACACTCCTTAGGCCAAATTTGTAGGGGAAACTGGGAACAGCTTTCAATATGGCTTGCCTAATTTAGAAAGTAAAATGACGTGTGGTTTTTTTAATTCAGTGAATTTCTGTACCATGTAAAACTAGATATCTTTTACGCAGATGTACTTTAACGAAAGGACCAAAATAAAAGATGGGAACGTATCCTAAAGTTTAACAATAACGACTTGCTACGATGCAGGCGAAGGACAAGAGTATCACTAGAACCTACGCTTATTCAAAAACAGGGAGACTGGATTTGCATAATCTTTTCTTGTTTTTGTGAAGTATTCTCATAAAAAAGTTGCCGATAATACTTACTGCTGCTACAGCAGAATCCATTTGAAACACACTTGCCATCAGCGACGGCTTCACACGTCTCGCCCACGACTTCACATGGTGTAGGCAGCTCGATTTCTTCTTGACAAACGTAGGCCTCTTTTGTACCCATCAAACACCCGAAGGAATCACCGCAGCAAATGGCTGAGCCTACGCACTGGCCTGTTCCCCCAGGCCCGCATGATAGGCACTAGATTAGAGAGAGATACGAAAAGGTATTTTTGAGGGTAACCCAAATTGTTATCTTAGGAGAAATTATACTACACACGATTCGGGCAAGCACTAGCGGGCAGGGGGGGGGGGGAGTATGCCCCTCCCAAAAAAGCGAGCACAGGTGACTTTGTTTAAAAATCGATGTTGTATTTTACCACAGGGAATACCCATTCTCGTTCCCTTCACGGATACGTAAAAAAATATGAATACAAAGTAAAGAAAGGGGGGCTAACAGCGCCCTCTAACGTCAAAATAAGATCCAGGCCCACTGCTTTTCGAATTCGCCTCTGCCAGCTGGCCCAGCTCCCTCCAACTCAATATTCTAGATTAGCCCCTCTCTTCCTATCTTAAGCTCCCCCAACCCCACCCGCGTACTTGCGTACTTATAATGGAGTCGATACGCCGGTCACGTCGCAGAAGCGTTATGGCAAATTAACAAGAAAATCCACAGATTTGAATACCAAGTGGTATAACTATTAATATAAAGTACAAAATAAATACCCAGTGAGAAAATTAATGAAGATTTGTCATCTTAAGTAGAGATTTGGTAAATACTTGCCAACCACGTTTGAAATATATGCGTCTATTGCCGTCACTTCAAAACAAATTTCAATGTTTATATTAAAAAAAGTCTAATGCATTCAAATTAAGGTCGGACCACCTGTTATTATCGGTCGTGCCACATAAATTATCGAATTATCGAATTATGCCGCGAGGAATCATTTCAAAACTCGCAAAGCTGTTGAAAAAAATCAATCCGAAAAGCAATAAAAGTACCCCCACAACTCAAGGAGCTTAGCGGGTCAATATGAGGTAAGAATTTAAATACTCCAGTGTCTTAGGTTACTCGTGCAGGGGTGTCGGCTTCCATGAAAACCCAACATCACGATTGTGGAGCAGAAAAAAAAAATTCGACGGTTGGTGTAGATGACACGTACTGCATGCAACGGACGTGGCGTGGTCAGTGCAAGATATTAGACCTCTCAATTAATAAGCTCGGTGTCAGTTTCAGATTGGGTTGTCCCCACTGATGGTGTCTGCGGAGGACACTGCGCCACTGAGTGACGCCAAAATTGGCAATATTACACCCAGAATGCGTATCCCTGCTGACAAGCCTCACTATTACAAGTGCCATTCAGCGCGACATTGAAATGAAGTCCTCCAGCGAGATCTTCATTTTTATTTCAAGATTTTCATTTTCAAGATTTTCTACACTTGGGCTGACGACGTACTTTCTACTTAATGAGGTTGTAGGTGGTTTACAGTGCATAAGCAATAGCACAATATGTAATACAGTTACCCAATTAGAAAGATGTTTTCTTTGTTGAAAAGCTAATGAACTATACTCTCCAAATATGTATCGATATTTGTGATGTATTTTTTAAAAAGCTGTGAAAAAGAGGGCGCTTTGAGGGTTCGTTTGTTTTTCTGACACCCTGTATATACTAAATCCTCTTCCCCCTTTTGACAAAAAATAATTATCAAGCCCTCTTGCCCCCCCCCCCCCAAAATGATTCTGGATCTGCCCTTACTTTGGAGACTCCTTGATCCACCACTGTGAAAGTTTTACTAGTTTCCAACATGTTTTTTCAACCGATAAACAAAATGGTTGTTTTGAGATATTTATTTTACTGTAAGGCAAAGATGTGAGAAAACACTAAAAATGTTCCTCGCCGCGACGTTGTCAAAAATGTTGCCAGTGGTCCAAGTTTAAAGAGGCATTTGTCACCACATGCTCCTCCGTGGGCGTCAGGACTGACTGACCGCATCATGCCCTTGGTCCTGACGGAAAGGATTCTTCACGGCAGTGTTCCCTAAAGCATGTTGAAGCAATCTCGAAAAATCGGAGCTGGCAACCGGTCAGAGAAACTGGGTCATTTATAAGTGTCTGCTTGTCAGAAGTCAGGTTCACTTTGTTTTCTATGACTTCTTGTTTGTTCCACATATGTTGTACATGTTCACCCCCATCAGAATTCTCTTTTATAACCAACAGTTAATTTTAACTCTCGAGTTGGGGGCGATAGTTTCTGAATAAGTACTGAGAAAGAATGACAGAACTACACTTCCTATTGTTTTTCGTGACTTGTCAATGATGTTTGAAAACTCAAATAGTTACGCTTCATCTATTTTTTTTCACTAAAACTTTAACACGGTATTAGGCTTATCTCGATCTCCAGTCTACTGTTATTGTTCATAATTATTTAGTATGGAGAAACAGTGACAGCTCCTTGGAACGGTTTAAGACTAAATGTAATTTCTTTCATTCTCTTAAGTTTTCGTGGCTAGTGATTTGATCTTATTTTTCATCACCAAAACGTCCTCGCGGTTTTCTGTATATTCCCTCACCACAACAGTACCCAGCCGCAAGAAAACAAACCCTCGATTTCTTCGAGGGTACTGTCACAGTTGAAAAGTGGACTTGATTAAACGAGGCCCATAAATCGCAATGACATCAAAGTGCGAGGTAGTATGTACAATGGTTGCCGATAGCAGCGATGTTCAGTGATCGTTAAATGCTTGTAAAACCTACGCGAACTATCAAAAACAAATATCCCGAGAGTGCATATACATCTGCGTCGAGGTTTCAACTCGACGTCGGTTACAAAAAAAAATATCAAAAAGTCTTTATCATGTTGAATTCGGTCAATTCCGTTGAAACTCTATAACACGAATCGGATTTGTGTTTAAGCCTATAACATCTCAGATTAGTTCTTTATATCAGATCGTTTCTCTGATAAATTCTGTACCAGACACCTGGTCTAATAATGCGAAACGTAATCGTTGGATATTTGTCAAATGAGTCTAAGTGTGAGTTTGGAATATTGTTTAAACCATAGGAATATTGATTAAAAACAATTACATCAGGGGTGAGATTGGTAATAAGTGCAAAGCGCTTTGATATTGTGATACGATGGAAAGCTCTACGTAATAAAAATTACATTGATTGCGATTATTATTGACAGTAACCGAAAAGTGACAAATCCACTCAATAATCGGCAGAGGTTTTTGGGCCGCTGAGGGCCTCAGATGCAATGTAGAAAATAAAAAAAAGAAGATGATTTGTTTTGGTTTTGGAGGCCGTTCGGGATGCTTTCTAAGGAGGCGTCGCATGTAAACGAATTATCGGGCAATGCACCCATCGCAAAGCGCGCCCGAAGTGGCAATTCTAATCAATGCTTCGACCCCAATTTGCGAGGTGGCGCGAACCGACACACCGGAGAATCGATTCAAATTTAATATTCCCCGCTGGCCTCCGCGCGCTAATCACACGGAGTGAATGCCTATACGAGTCCAACCGATTGGATTTAGGAATAAAAAAGGGGTGGGCTTACAAGGTGTTTAGCTGAATGTCAGAGTGCCAGGGGAGGAACAGGTAACCAGGGTACACTTTCATATTTTTTCTCTGGAAATATTCGATGGAACGACGTGAACCTTTTATATTGTGTCGACAAGTCAACAGTAAACGGTTTTCCGTTTTTGTTACTTCTGTCGGTCCCGCGAGATCAACTTTCATCAGCAGTTCAGTCTGAACGGCCCGGAGACATTGCACATTCGTAGTTTACATTTCTGGTTGTGATTTCCTTTTTTAACTTCACATTGGTGAAAGTGTTGAGGATGTTTTTATTCGTGGGTTTTAGGAACTGGCCAAAATAATGCCACATACCAAACCCATGCAGATAATGTCTCAAAGTTCGCGTGACAACTATTTCAGAGGTGTACAACAATCATTATTAAAATCCATAATCAGGAAAAAAGGATAACATGGTTTGGAATACGAAAAAGAGGCCGAAACTATCCAAGCTTTACTCTCTATGGCTGGCAAACTTTGAAATAGATACATTTTTTTCAATCGGATTTTTCCATTAGCAATGAAAACATGATGCAAAATTAGATTTTGATATAAAATGGTGACGTTTCCGAAACTACTACTTCTGTCTGTTCATGTGAGCATGTTTTCTTTCTCTTCGCGTCTCCTTTTCAAAAATTACGATCACCATTACCAACAGAAACAAATCCGTTCAGTTTGCATGACGTCCCATAAAATGAATCGTAACTCATGTAAGCTTGCATGGCTCCCCAAAGCCGTCTCTAGTTCAGCCATAAATATTCTTCCCAGATTTGGTTTTGACAAGCAAATTACTGACACAGAGACACTGAGAGAAGATGTCCGGATTGATGTCAGGAGTCCGTGGATATGATACTTTCTTGCTAGCTGCTAGGCCTCAGGTGGATTTCCCTCGTCCCACTTCGCAGGAACATATTTCATGTTATCATGAAAATTAGGGTCACACCAAAACCAACACAATATAGACCTCAATTACAGGTGCATTTAGAGTTTGAAGCCAGTTCATTACAAGGAGATTCTTTAAATCGATTTCATGAACTAAAACATTGTAAAATATTTCACAATCACAAACATACAAACATTTTGCGACCTTATATAAATCACTGCGGGTCCAGACGTGGGTTTGAAATCCAAATACCAATTGTGGACACGGCATTCCGGTCAACGGCTTAATTGGATATTGCAGATTGCCAGTTAAAACCAACAAAGGATCAATCATTTGGCGTCACTGAGTTGAAAACATTTTAACTGATACAATTCTCTCGTGTATTGGTGCGTCACTGATGACGTAGGTAAATTGAATCGAGACATAACTATAATTGGTAAACCATATGTTTTGTACACGATCGCCAAATCGGGGACCTTCGGGGATCGGGGACCTCATCAGTTGGACATAATTGAAATGTTATTCCAGCCCCAATTCAAAGGTTCTCAAAGTTGTTTTGACCTGATCCTCCGCCTCAATGAGCACTTATCGTTGGTGAGATTTAATTAAAAGACACTTGCTCCCCACCAACGCGCACTGGCATTAACTATCTACCAGAAAATACATATTGTCATGGTATGATCCATGCATTCGCCTTTCATAGGGATACCTTCAGTGCGAAATGTCTGAACGGGATGATACGAGCGGTTTGTGTCGGATCTGATGCAATGACTTAAGATAAGACAATTGTCTCAAGATTTGAAAACAGTGCTGCGTGCACGCGTGTCAGATAATGGTCACATTTCCCAATATTAACGTAATCGCGTTATTGTAAAGTTGCCTCTGCTCACTTTTTTTCAAGGAGCCCAAACGAAGTCTAATATATTGCCAGATTTTGCGAGTGTGAACCTTATTATTCTACCAAATGTCAACACAACCAAATTTCAACACAACCAAACACCGATTAGCTAATTTGTTTGTCTCGTGCACTCAATGAACACACAGATTCCACTGTAGGCCCCTATACTGTTCTGGATAGTGGGTTCCCGACGAAAATATTTTCTTCGTCAAAAGTTGATAAAACTTAAATGTGAAAGTTTTAAAAACATTGATTAATTTCCCGAAGAAACCTAAACGGTATATACATATTTGTGCGTGGGTGGAGTAGACGTGTTTTCCAGACGCTGTGCTGCTTTTAAATGAACTCAGCCTTCATCTCTATATTGCATCAGAACGTGTTATTGATGAAATATTTGTCCTTATATTCTTGTAGGAAGTGGGTGTTTTTGACCAGTCTCTTCTCTCCCGACAATTGTTTCATTTTTTCCCAGTCGACAGCCCCGTTTAATTAATCACAATTGCGCGCCTTTTCGGCACCAATCGATTTGCACAGTGTGTGAACTTCACTGTTCAGCAAGGCGTGAAACCGACGTTAATGATTTTTTTTTTTGAATTTTTTTTGGTTTGATATCGAGAGATGTAAGATATCGCACCGTCGCCCTTGACTTCAAGAAGTCAATTCCACCTGCTGCTTGCTAACACTTGTTCTCTAGGAATCGATAGCTGGGAACGGTCGGCCCCTCTTGCGAATGACGCCTATCACTTCCTGAAGTTAATGACTACATGTGTGGTGACATTTTACCCGCCCAGCAACTTCACCTACAGCGTCTTGATTCTTCCACACTGAAATTCTCAAAATGAAGTTGAATGAATTTGGAAACTAGCCAATCTGAGATATCAAGACAACGGGTCTGACAATGGACAATGAAGACAAATAGGCCTATTACCGATTAAATGACAAATTTGATCATGTTACTTTTTACATCGGAAGGTTTTAGATTACCAATCTTGAATCGTTAGTCCTAATATAAACCTAACCTGCATCTTGTCTACAGTAGGTATACGACAATATGATACATTAAGCATATAAATCGTCAGTCAAACAAAAACGAATCCTACCAAATCAAATGTCTAAATTCGTGGATGGCTGGATCGTAGTATATCATATATATTAAAGGAATCTCTTTGAACGATTTATTAGAACGACTTTACTCCTAATTTCGGTAGATATGAGGGTTCAAGCCTTTTTGGGTACATTGACGCTATAAATCAGTTATGCCTATACGTGATCGCGTAAATACCGAGGCAATACTCGAAGACTTTTTCATAGTCATCAGAGATGCTTGCCCCCTCCCCGCACCCCGATTCCGTTTTCAGCTGTCTGACAAGATTAAAACTATTTCAGTGGGTGTATGACTAGAGACAAGCAGGGAGTATTCTGTCACCCGGGCCAGTGTGAAAATGTCAGCTTCAATGAAGAAGGCTACCCCCGGGAGACGCTCGTGTCGGCTGCAAAAGAGGAAATGAAGCCAAACGTACGGAGTGGTTAGCGGAGCCCGGGCTGTTCTGCCCTCACGCAAGCTAAACACAAATATTCCGTCTCGCTTTTCCTGTTCTTTGATCGCATTCACGTCCATTGTCTTCACTCTCTGCAACCTCTAGAGTACAAATTGGCGCGCCAATATCTTGCCCCCGGCACTGGGAAATCAGCAGAAGCCGTGATTGGAAACTTCTCCCCACAAAAAGTGTGTATAATTATGCTCTGGAGTTGACAACGGGTCGCTTCTGATGAAATCAACTCAACACCAAAATCCAATTGTGGACCTGCGCGACTGATGTTTTGATTTAACAAACAAGCGTTTGATCGCGGGTCGTGACGTTTCGGCAATAATTATTTGACGTGACACGACTTGGTTTTTTTTTATCTGTCTCTCTCAGTGCTGTAGCTTTTGTTTACCTATCCGATGGGAGAAGCTTATCCTTACGTGCGTATTTGTATGGACCTTTAATTTGTCAACACAACGTAATCAAGCAAGCACGTGTTTTTCATCAAATCCAAATCTAACTCAATATCCCAGTCCGTGGGAATTGCAAATAGACTGCGTGGCTAGTTTTACAATTCTCGCGCGGCAAACAATTATTGAAACGTTTTTAAAGGAATAGGCGACTTATCTAAGGAAACGCGCTTTCCAAAGGTGCTTGGCTAGCCAATTAAATTGAGTGGGTTTACAAATTAAGACCGGGTCTATAGAGTGTTGCAGTAATATAGTTACTATGGCTCCGCAATCATACCTGTGCGATTATTCGGAGCTAGCGCGAGAGACCAAATATATTTCCTTGGATTCATTTCTCGACGGAGTTAATAACAATTCATTTACTTATTTCCGTCTCGAATGAAACAAGTGTGTGACTTAAATGCGCCGTGATTGAAATATAATCCAACAGTTTTAGAAAATACCATCCAAAGATTCAGACAACATTTCACCCTGTCTAGAATTCTCAGTCTTAATCAACCGCGCAAAAACTGCGTTAATTGGTTTTTTTTAAATTTAATATGAGTAAAGGCCCAGGAGTAGGAAAGACGATCTTGTCAATAATCAAAGCTTAACAAATTAAAAGTAGCAGTGGGATTTCTCAATAAACAAAGATCTGTTTAAAAGCTGACAAATCGCCACGCCCTTCTATTTCACTCCCTTGTAAATAATGATTATTCACAGATAAATTTTTGCCAATATTTTTGCACTGAAATATTTTGTTATATGAAAAATATTTTTCAGTGAATTTGCTCAGTGCGCCCGAATGAAGAGACAATATTTAAGACAAGAGGCTTACAATGCTTCTTGGACATCTAGCAAGAAAACCGCCAAAAGATCTAAAGAGCCATACATTTGTCAGGGTAAGATAAAAATGGAAAACCATAAATTGGTTAAATATGTCATTTTTATCAAGGAAACATTTATTTCCTCATGTACTGCAATTTAAATATTGAAACAAGGTAGGTAACACATAATTAAAGCTTTACGGAATGCCGTATTAACAGATATTATGTGTTTCCATACAATATCAATCAGGAAAAGGGGAAAGAGATTAGACCACCACTAAGGAAGTACATAAAACCAAGTCGTACATAAAGGTCACCGACGACGGCAAAGTTTAGAATGAAGTTTCACCTCACAATCCTTTGCAGTTCAAATTAGTGTTTCTAACACCTGACTGACCACCTGACTTACCACCTGAGTAACCACTTAGCCTGAACCAGCAGTGCAATTTAGATCGAGTCATATTAAAGATGTACTGTCAGTGCCATTTTCGAGTTCCGCCCCGAAAATATATATTGTATTCTCAACTGCTATTTTCTAGCAAAAGCAGAGTTATGCACTTTTGAATGAGACATCGAACGAAAAAAAATCGACCGACGTTTAGCTATAAAATGGACAATTTATTCAGTTTTTGCAGGGTGGACTGGTTCCCTACCTTTATCAGCATTGATGTCGTAGGGACCGGTAACAGTTTTGGATACGCAAAAGCAAACAAAATAAAAACCCTTTTTCAGCGGGTTGCTGACGCCAAAAATAGAAGGGAAATTTTTTTTTTAAAACGGATGAATTCTGCTGAAAAAAAAATACAAATCGAATTTGAAAAGCACGGAAAGTACATCTTTAAAGACGACAGATATAGACCTAATTCACCAGGAAGCCATTTCAATCGAGTTCCCTGAATCTATTTTATAAATTGTCAACTGTTGAATGGGATGGTGCCAGACTATTGGAATGCTTTTCAAGCCCCACTTTCATTGTTTTTAAAATGTGGCTGAAAAATGTTTAATCACAAATGTTAACTTATTCATCAGAGCAGACTGGTATGAATTTGTAATGAACTTTTATTTCATTGTTTTAATTTCTACTCGAAAATTCCAAAAAGGAAGAGTTTACCTCGCTTTCAATTTAAAATGGCCGACTCGAAGTCTATTAAGAAGACAGGTGACAGATTGTAAGATGTTATAACCGATGCCTCACCTGTCTGATTGAGTTGTAACCTGATCTTTTGCCCCCTTCCGGGCAGTCTTGCACCAGGCATGCCTGGCCATGTAACCAGAGCGCCACTAGTACGCCGGTCCAAAGCGCTGCTGCTGCCCTCATACCCATCGGCTGCCTGTATTGCAAGAACAACAAAAACCAGTCATAAAGTACTTGTCGTGAAAAATGAGCGGATGGATCTTGGATGAGTAGGCACTTGAACTTGTCACTTATCGGTGATTATTAGCCAGAGGGCTTGATCAAGGAGTGTTCGAAGGGGCTGGATTCATGAGAAGGGGGGGGGAGGGGAAAGGCCTTAAGCAATGAACCGGAATTGATGGATCGAATTCAACATGGTTCAATTTTTAGGTAAAATGTTCAGATACGCTAAGAGCTTTCCAATGAGAAATTACAGGAAGGTATAGCATATCTAATAATTTTTAATTTTTAATTAGTATCACACCGAATCAAATATCGCAAAATGAACATATTTTTGAAAAGATCACAAAGTTTACAGTAGGCTACGTATTTTTCTTTACAAAATGTTTTCTTCTATAATCCAGTAGCACGAAGGAATGTGGGATTTTGCAGTAGAGCACGGATATAATAACTCAAAGCACGGACAAGAAACGGCGCCATCAATTGTTGATGAAAAAGACTAGGCAAATATCAGAAGTACATGTTCGCGGGGCTGTTATAATTGATTCAATAATGAAGAAACAGGTCGGGCAAAGTGCTCCAGTGAATACGAACATTTCTCACATGGCTACTCAGAAGTTTCTGTGATTCCCAAAGATCTCAAAATACTAAATGTTCATGTTAATTACAATGAATTCATCAGTCCCCACTTGATTGAAGGTTAATTGAATTAAACATGACGTCCTTGTGATGCATATCAGTCTGTTGCGTAGCAAGGTAGTTTTTATTGCTAAAAAGGGCACTCTTTACAAATATTGGGGGGGGGGAGGGGAAAGCGCTGGTGAAAAAAGGGGCTTTGCATGGAAAAGGGCCGTCTTTACAAAATATTGAGGGGTAAATACCCCCCCCCCCGCTAGCTACGCCTATGCATAGAGATATTCGTGGGTTTGCCGGTGTCTTGTGAGGTATTTGACGTAATTTTATGAGCAAACACGGTACAGTCTGGGTTACTCGGGGGGGAACTCAAACCCACGACCTACTGCTTACTAGTGCAGACTACTAACAACTCGACCACCAAAATGAGAAGCATCTATCGTAACCATGGTTAACAAAAATCTCATCCGTGTTATTTTAAATCGCACACTTTTAACTCCCAACCGTGCAGGTAGGATTTTGATTTACTCAGCAACGATATCTGCGTGACCGTCTATTTCGAAAATGCTTCCCACTGAAATAATACCAATTTGAGCAGAAGCAAATCTCTTCGTCGTTTAATGTATCAGCCTTTTTTCAGGTTTTACAAGCGGAATTACCCTTACGAACCTCTCTTTTCTTACACAATCAGTTTTTAGAATCGCATCTCTGGTCGCGATTTTTAATCTCCCAATTTCATCTTCTAGTTTCCGGTTTCCTGTTATGTCTTGTGGCATTTTGATATTTTCCCCCTATGATTTTGATCAAATTGGACTTGCGAAATCATCGAAGCGGAAGGTGAATAATTCGGCCAGCCTTGATGCTTGCCACGCTGCGTTCTTTTACGTTGACCGACTCGCCGGGCGCGATGCACTTATCTCGCTCTGCCGTAACCTTCGCACCATATAAAATCCCCCTTTGGTAAAATAATATCAGGCCGTGATTGAAGCGTGAATTCAACTCGGATTTCATTAAATAATTTGACTTGATTTCTGTTCTGCCCTGTCGGATTCAACGAGAGTTCCCGCGGTCGCGCATGCGTGAATGTCGCGTTACAATTGTTGACCCAGAGTGGACAGAAGAAACAAGGAGATGTAGTTTGATGTGGTTTCAGCCAAATGCATTAACCACCGTGTTTGTTGATTGAAGGATATAGGAATGGGCGCGCCTGTGTTGTAGCAATGTCTACAAAATGTTCATAAGAGCAATAATTGATCAAAGTAACTTTTTGATATCTTCATTCAGTAATATTTAGAGCTCTGTTATGTTAATCACTTACGTTAATCTTAAACATCGCGTAGAAATTGATTAAAGCTAAGAGCTTTTTCTTTCCAACACTTACAAAATCATTGGGGTCATTCCAATGGCATTACCACAATTAAGGGATTTACACTGTACCTAGTCCTAATCCTTATGAACAATAACAAGAGTAAACATGAATTTGATTGAAATACCTTTTATTTTCCACCTTCGGAACAGGTATCCCTTTAAGTTCTATTTTAAATCTTTTCAGCATATTTATAATTCATAAATATGTCAAAACATTACAGTAATTGCACAAATGAAAGACAATCGCAAAGTGTGTTTACAGTAACATATTTCACTGTTTGAAACACTTTGGAAAAGGATGAAATCACTTTGCATAATCACTTTACACACTTTTTACATAATTGTCATTTTCTCAGCAACCCAATGTGCTGTATTCTTGATTTTTTCAGTATTTGAAATAAAAAAGCTCTCAGCTTCAATCTGATTTTCAAAACATAAAAATTCACCCATCACAATTATGAGAAAAAGGCAAATGTTTCAGGGTTGCTTTTTGGGGGGTCACCCTGAATAGGCGAGGTTGCTTACAACTAAGCGGTCAGTTTGGATCGGGCTGGACGATCGGGCAATAATCTGCAGCGCGTAGGTATACTCACGTTTGGCATTGTTCATCCATTCTCATCTTTCGTTTTATTTCATTGCTTTTTTTTCATTGCTCATCTTGTGATGGGGACTAAAGACATCCCGTTGGGAGAAGTCTTTTGTCTAAACGGGTCTTGGATTGGTTTCATATAATGCATCGGTTTTAACAATGGAAAACAAACGCAGATGCGCAAATTGCCGTACAAGTATAGGATTACATTTAATACTTTCAGCTTAAAGGTCAATTTTCTAATTAATTGTCAGCTTATTTTTTTTCGGTTTAGTCCCATTCTAACCAGTTGTTATTTTGAAACGTGTGATCAGACCTTGTCTTTATGGTCATTTATTGTTTTATATATACCTTTTTGTTAGAATTCACAGAGAACTTTGTTATCAGGAGGAACATTGATACACATCGTATAAAGTGCACAACTCTATGTTATTATCAATGACTTAAGAGGATATCGAGTAATGCTCTGGTGTCTAACGATAACTTTCACTTGCACTTGTCCAATGTACTTTTCACGCCAATTGTTCCGACCGAATATCGGCGGAGATTGGAATCATATAGGATAATGGATCCTCACGGTATCAGCTTTCCTGCCCTGGACAGCACCGGTATAACGGCCGGGCCGCGGGCTGTACGGGACACCGTATACCCATTGGGCCGGACTTTCAGAGCGGGCTACCATAATCCCGCGTGACAGGCCACGGAGTGAAATTGATTTGGGGTGTCTCTCCGGAGCGGGGACTGAACCAAATTGTACCGGGACATGATGGTGGATTTCGCCGGTTCGCACCTCCCGCTCGGAACGTGATCGATCACAATGATCACCGGAATTTCCTCCTTGAACGGTCTCGCCATATTGGTGCAAAAACAGAGGCCGCACCTGCCTGCATCTTTTGTGTTACTGTTGTTTTCCCTCTATGGCACAAAGTACAGCGTTCTCCATTTTTTCAGGTTGCACGTTAAGATGAGCTGAAAAACTTTGTGTAACACACATTCTTTTCGCGTTGGTTTTATCCTTTTATTACCACTTTCCTTATGAAACCACGATTCCTTCAAAAGCAAAATTATTATAGGAATCCCAAATGGGTCGAAGACGAAAAAGGAGGAACGGCTGTTTGAGCGTTAAATGGAAAATATATCTTAAAGAATCAGATATGAACGAGAAAACCATCAAAGAACTGCCCCACAGTTAACCTTTCGTTTGTCTGTAAACGTCCGCGCCACAATGGGTAGCCATCAAAATGCATACATTTCAACCGTGGTTGGCAAAAGATTTGCCCAAAATTCAGAGGGAGGTACCTTCATGAACTTGGTTGTGCATGTATTTTGTTATCCAGTGTACAAATAATCATGCGACAAACCATGCAATATTTATATTTCAACTCTGCGGGATAGTTTTTGATTTTGTTTCCCTTCATAAAAAGCCGCCTGTAGTTTGCCTACTGCTGCGGATATAGCCAAATGTCATTCATTGCTTTTGTAAGGCGCTGTTTTTCTAACAGTAGTATTCTAGTGTTCCAATGGTGCAATTTCGTTGGGGAAATCTTCTATTCAGTAACCGTTCAAACAAGTTAGCAAAAAGATTGGGTATTGAGCAGATGAGAGGAAAAGGTGTTAACGAAAAACCCGGAGCTAACATGGGACGGTAAGAGCGATCGAACCAATCAATGTTGCGGGTTGGAGTGAGACATTGCCCCCCGTCTATACCCCCCTTGAACTCCCGGTGAAAGTAGACTACGATCGTCAAATCCGTTCGTCTAAATCCCATCTTGTCATGCCTCGGGGGTTCAGTTATTTTCCACCGGAGATTAACTCTTCCTGATTCTTCTAAATGTCAGAAACTGTGACTTCTTTCGCCAAAACTCCCCCTCTTGAGCACTGATTGAGGACTGCATTATTCTCCCAACAATAATTGTGGTGTCTCAAAGTCCTGAACATTGATGAAACTAGGACAGAATTCCTTTACACCGACCGTTTTAACTGGGCAACAATTGTGCATTTCTTCAAAATGTCAGGTTTTTTTTTTTTAAAGATAGGCCCCAATTGATATGGGTAATGTCAACTGTTTAGGAAAAGCTTGTATACTATATGCATGATCGTTTCGCCAATGGAAATTACTAATGCCATGTAAATCCATTTCACGTTGCAGTATTTCTAGGCGGTCACAATCACATCGTTACAAATGATGGTCTGCGTTCCAGTCTGTTGAACCAGCCTACCGCATTATCACGGTCTCCATGTTTTCATAGGCGTTCTGACATTGACTGTGTAGATCGGAGCTTTAACATAATTATCTAGATCGGATCCACTTCAGGTTTGCCCAGATCAGTTGAAATAATAAACTGTTTTATACCGAAACGATCAATCTAATTCATTCTCCAACTGAGAAAACACAAAACGTCAATACGAATAGTAAAGCTAACCATGTCGGTTTTTTTTTAAATTGTATTTGGAGTACTTGTATGACAAAGTCATATTAAGTGCAGCAAAAGCATTAAGTAGAGGACAGTGTTATCATACCTCCGCCAAGGAGGTTATGTTTTTTTTCGCATTTTGTTGGTTGGTTAGTTGGTTGGTTTGTCTGTAAAGAAGATAACTCAAAAATTTATGCACGGATTTGCATGAAACATCTTTTAGGGGCGGTCCTTGGTATACAAGTACAAATCGATAAGATTTTGGAAGTGATCCGGATCTGGGTCTGGATGCAGAATTTTTTAAAGGATTCTTCACCATTTATGCGAGTATGTTTTATGGGTGTACGAACAATTATGGTGGGGAATTGTTCCGTCTTGGCGGAGGTTTGCGCTCTCTGAGTGCTTTCGAGTTCTGTGATGTGATTAAATTCTCATTTTCAAATAGTTATTTTCATATACTTTCCAATAATTTGATTTTCTTCCTGTTATCGGATGGAAATCCCACGTCTCGCCTGATCCCTTTAAACGATCTCGAAGACATAGTTCTTTCGACAAAATGTATTTTATCCCCGGAAGACTGTCTGATGGCACGATTCTGTCTTCATAAAACATAATTTCACGTAGACTACTGTTTCCCGGAAGGTAAGTCGTTTGGTCCAAAACAAAACGATAAAAAATGCAATGTGATGACAAGTGCATCTTAAAGTTAAGCATAAGTACCTCTCCTGAATAATGGGAATGAATTAAACGATCTTCGTACGTTTGTCAACGCTATTTCACTGACAGGAAACGTTCTAAGTATGGTTCGATTTTATAAAATTGTTCATTTAATTTATGCTCCCAATTGGAATACATGTACATAATTTACGACGTGATATTACGTGTATTTGTTTTTGCTGTGAACAATTTCAACGGCTATTTTTAATCTGAAAAACCAAATAACATACATTACAAGATCTAACCCTTGTTTAGAACGTTTACTGCTTTCGGTATTGCATACACGTAAAAAGTGTTGTCAATTTCCGCGAAACACTGTGTTTCATTCGTAAGAGAAAAACGCGCAGTATTTATGTTAACAAAAGGCCGCATTTTTGAGTGCACTCCGTGTGAGCGCACGGGTCAATAGACAACCACTGAATCACCGAATGATAAGAAAAAAAAATCAAATTTCCGCTGCTTTATTATTTCCATGGAAATGTTGGGAATTGATTTAGCGCTCCTAGATGTAAGCCATCACTCCAAGCGACGCATTTCGCGAGTAATGAAACACTTGAGATCTTTGAGACAGGAAATGCTGTAATGACTTGCGCCTTTCATATTGGGCCGGAATGTATTTTTTTTTGTCTGGATACAATTGAATTCGCAGTAATTGCTTGAGTGGTTAGTTCAGTCGTCTACACGAGATGTTTCTTAAAGGCTGCCTGAGGAATCTAACTGGCCTATACATTCTGTTTTTACCATAGTTGTAGGCTATCTACACGTAAGATGTGTTCATAAACATTTGTGTTCAAAGAGATCGTCGTGGATTTAGTCTCCACTTATCATTTTTCAACAATTAATGAATATTGAAATATTATTCAACAACACTTATTTACAGCATTTGTTATACAAACAATCTGATCGAAAATTACTCAAGTTGGATATTTTTTAATGTGCTATGCTCATATACAATGGAACAGAATGCATGCTTGGCTTCCTCAAAACCTTTTTTTTTTAAAATAGATCTGGCTAAAAACAAAAAGTGCACAAAATATGAATAAAGGCAAGTTTTTTTAAAACATCTTTGCGCAAATCATAGACAATGTTTCTGTACCTAAGTGGGGTCTCGGTGATCATATATCTGCACTTATAAAATTGAGAGTTTAACCTGTCCAGCTTAATTCTTCGGTTCTACCAAATTTCATGTTGGTAAAACAAGGTTAATACTGCGAATATCAGGACCCGATTTGGCAGTAAGTGGGCACGATTCGCACGCTTCGTAGCTAACATCTTGTTGACGTATCCCCTTGGTACACTTTTTTAATACAGTGCAGGAATTAGAGGAAAGCCGACTAACCTAAATGCTCATAGCTCCATGATGGAATTCGTCGAACCGTGCTAAACAACGCGAATCGGGAGTATTAAAGGTTGGTCAGCCCACTCCGTGTACTGATGTTTTCAGTTAGAAGAAGAATCACCGTCCCACAGATGCCTGGATTGTGACTATCACATTCTGTACTTATTCTAATCTTCTTACGAAGAAAACAACTTAGCAACAGATACCTTTCACCTGTAAATGTTTTAGCCTGATTTTTCTTTTATTTCCATAAGCGATATGGACGCTTTTAACATGACCGAGGCGATGAAGAGTTGAACGTGAATAACTGTAGCGTTACGCGGGGTATTTTTCCCAAAGAAATGAAACAAGACATATTATGAAAAGATATGAAAACCATCTAATATGTCACATATGCTAAAATATATCTACAAAAAATAGAGTAGTACGCATTTTGTTTGATCGTATACGCCAAATATATTATTTGATTGGTTTACGGAAAATCCCCAGAAATGTCTTCTTCTAAAATGCAATTACATGAAACATTCAGTTATGAATAGGGCCTATACCGATACAATTTATTTTGCAAAACAAGTGGTTTTCGAGGGGAAGCAAAAGACGGGCAAAGTGCTTGTAATGATCGTTTGCAGTCTGGTAAAATAAAAGCCTTTTCCGCAGGTCACAGTACAATTTATTTTTCTAACAGTGGGTTTTAAAAAACGAACGTACCTGTAGAGTTCCCCTTCGACAATTCCTCACTCCCAACAACAGGTTATTCAATAATCGACTAGCGCCCAGTCAATATTGTAGATGTCTACCTCCAACGATACACAATCACGCTTCTCGCCTTACGCCGTGCTACACCGCCGCTCACAAAATGCACGCACGTACACCAATCATCACACTTTATGCCAAAACTTCCTATCACAATGAGCATGAGCTCGGATGTCACGTGGTTACATGTCAGATGCCTTATTGGTTGCTATGTAATAGTCAGGAAGGCGAGTGGGTTGGAACACGATGTTGTTTAATATTGTTCTGTCACTGAGACAGTCTAGTCGTTTCCTGTTGTTTAGTTCGTGTGGACGTTTTTCTTCTTTTTTGATAGACCTTTCCAAGTACGCTGTACTCACAGAGGACCTCTCCAATGGTAAAAGCACTGTGCTATTCATAGAGATAATCCGTCAGGGGGCAGACTTGTTTTGTACAATAGATGGAATCCAAGGGCGGATCGGGGGGGGGGGGGGCAACCGTGGCCATGCCTCCCCCCCCCCAAAAAAAAACCAACCCATTTTATTTTAAGTGACGTCGCAATAAAGGCAGGCACTGCGTACACCACCATCTTTCCCTCAATAAATGGTAAAAGTGGTCAGAAATTGCCTCAGATCGCACCACAGAGCATCTAGAATCCAAATTTTTTTCGCGGCACTTAAGCGGGCCCTGAACCCCACGCCGTAATTTTTGGGCCCACATTTTGGGGCCCCAAATTGTGTTCTGGATCCGCCCTTGATGGAGCTATGTTCTGTCATTTAAGGGCCTCTGTGAATGTACAGTGAATGGTCCGTACGATCCCGTAATTATCTTGGTTTTTTTTAGATTGGCGATATTTTACTTATTTGATAATCGCTTCAAGATGAGACAAGTTTGATATTAGATATGGCGTATGTGTAAACGACTCTGACACATGACAGATTCAGGAGTATGAAGTAGTTTCAAAAGGTGGAATTATTGCCTTTGGCGAAGACATAGTTCAGACAAGAAGATTCTGTTATGCCGACAGGTTGGCTGAAAGAATCACTGACAAAAAGCAGTTCATTTGAAAGCATGTACACAAAGCTCACATGCAAACAAACAACTTATTTTGCATTTAGAAATTATTGAAACATAATCAGCATGAACCTACTGCCTTTTCACACTTATTTCAAGTGTTGACGAGTCACCAATTAAAAAAATACATGTTTTGGTAGTATAGTATCAAGTTAATTAGTTTCTATCTCAGTTAATTAGTTTCTATCTTAACAAAAGTATAGTGACTCTACCTTTAACCTTCTAAAAGGGTTGATATATAAGTGCAATCTTTTACCGTTTGACGACGTACTGAGCATGGGAAATCAGCTTTTGAGTCGTGTAATGTTTTGTTTCAAATATTATTTCATCTGTTCTTTTCTTCGTGTGGAAAAAAAGTCTGAGCATAGTTAATATTCACAATACGACGATAACCTTTTGACCACGATTTTGTACAGTCCGAAGTAATAGAATGTGGAATCCAAATTTACTTGTTCGGTTATTGGCCAAATGAATGAAAGGAACAAGGATTTCAACGAAAAATGTATTTTAAGGATGCATAACGTATGTGTGGTGCATGCTTCAATCATTGTACTGATGAGAAAAAATTGTAAACGGAGAATTCGCACAGTGATACTTCAGTTCTTGTTATTAAATGAAACACTTGAATATGTTATGCCCGACAGCCAGTTTCGGTAAAAAATAAGCTAGCACCAAAGAATCAAGAGGAAAAGCGAACGCAAACCAAGAGATGAAATAGTTACGGGGAATGCCCTTATTACAAAATTGAGTTAAATGACCAATAAATTATCCTGGGTTTGTCAACTGTTATGTGAAGATCGTGATTCTGAAATAAAGGTCATTACTAACTAATTGCTTCTGTACCCCGAGGCAAGATTTGCGTTAGGGATAATTATCATTCACCGAGTTTGAACACATGAATATTGAATCACGTGACTCGCATAAATCAATTAGGTGATTGACTTGCTTCTTCCTACGAGTGGTATTTTACGTATAGGCATACATTGTACATTCATTGCTTTTTCTGAAGAATCCATTTTGAAACATATCGAGGATTTTTTCCGGAAAAATCGATGAAGGTTGTCTTTATTAATATCAGAACTCACTTTTGTCCTTCACTGTTAAAATTGAGCTTCCGAAAGCTAATAGCTTCTGATATACTCGTGAAGAATTTAGGTTCATACATAGCTGATAATGTTTAATGGAAAATAAGCGAGAGTGTGTATTTTATCTTTTAAGATAGCACAAAAGGCATATTTTCACAATTGATCTTTGGTGTTTTTCTATCTCCGTGGTGCACGCAGTACGTCAGTAAGGAACACTCAAATCTGCCTTGTCAACTCGCGCTCTGCCCTATTGAGCCACTCAAGCATCAGCGATACCTTAAACAAGCATGAATATATTTATATTTGTTTTTTTTTTTCAGCCAGCTTCCATTAACTGCCGAGTTCATGTTTTAGGTTTAATTTTTACAAAAGGGCTGAATTTCGTCATACGCTTCTTCTACCTGGTTACACAATGACCATACAAAAAAAATTATCCAATGTAACCCGTATAACCAACCAACCAATGCACAAAAGGAATGTAATATCGAAAATTATCCTTGACCTTGTCCTGACCTGGGTCATCGTGATCAGGGTACATCGCCTGGGAAAAATATTGAAAGAGCAACAACACATTTATAAAGCATACCTTTTCATAACATTTAGTACATCAGGGCAAAATCAAAATGAAAAAAATCCCCGAATATTATTGTAAAATTGTTAGAATAGAAAATAATGGGATGTTTTATTTAAATGAATGTGTAATTTACACACAATGTATACATATTGAAAGAGTGCATGAAATTCATGATTTTGGGGGGATATTATATTATCCCCTTGAAACTGACACTATGTATGACATTTAGATAAATGAAAGTGATCCTCCCATATAATGTTCGTTATAGAACCTTCTGTTAATTTGATATTTTGACGGAACTTTATACTCAATAACTGAAACCGAACGAGACACCAAAAAGACATAGCATTATCAGAAAGGCACCCGTAATGCTCACACTGACTAAATACTTGAATACAATCTTACTCCCAAAATAAACCCCCAAAACATGGATTGTTACTACTTTAGAACAGAAAAGAGTTCTTAAATTTCTTACCCGAAATAACGCAGGATTTTCATAGATGCACAATGACATTTCGTTCGTAAACTAAAATACATTTAAGCCGTTGAATCCAAAGTACGTCATATTGAACAAATAGGCCTGGGAAATGCATGGGAATCTCAAAATTCAAATGGAAAGAAAATATGAAACTGTGTCCCAAGCCGATACGACTCATAGTCAGATGTATTTATTTGTCTTCGGTTTCTGTCTTGGCTACATTGCTTCAACAAAAGACGTGCACTTCGAGGTTGCCTTTTCTTTAAGTGGAACTTTTGACTTCGCTTGAATTTCATTTCCAACCAAGTATGGAAGAATCCTTGAAATAGTTTGACGATTTGAGTTTCAAAGCTAAAAGTGGGTCTTAAGGTGGCATCGTACTGGGAATGGATACGTGGCTACACCAATTTTGAAATTTCGTTTTTAAATTTATAAACATTTTTGTTTTAAAGTTGGCATGTTTAGATATATCATGTGAATAAAAAAATATTTTAACTGGGAAAAATTGCGAAACTAGAAAGCACTCAGAGGCGCAAACCTCCGCCAAGGCTAAACAAAATCTAATCGATTTGTACTTTTACCAAGGACCAACCCTGTTCATGTATATGCCTGTGTTGGTCTACCTTTCCACTCCCCCACTGTATAAAATTGTCTAGTCCATTGACCTTTGTGGTTAGATTAGGTGGGTGATAAGGCATATGGGTCAGTGTCACGCACACGAAGTTGGTCCCACAGAGCGATCTGGTGAAAGTTTTCAATATGATGGGTACAAATTTCTTTTAAAAATCCTGCATCCAGGCCAGAGGCAGATCCGGATCACTTCCGAAATATAAGGACCATCCCTAAAAAATTGTTCATAAAAATCTTTTGTGAACTTTTTGAGATATCCTGTTCACAGACAAACACACTAATCAACCAACCAATCAACACACAAACCAACGTCGGTGATAGTTAATAATTTTGAAGGACATAATCCCATCAAACAGCGAAAAGAGATACTATTTGAACGTATATAGCACGGCTTTCATGATTTTACTTTAATGCATCGTGGGATCGATACTCCTGCCTAAGGTTTCAACGAATGGAAATATTCCTTTCCCCAGGCTAAGATGCAAGTCCATAACAAATGTCTTCAGGTGTATCATTTTATTACTCAAGTTTCAATGCTACAATGTGTATCTCTTGTTGGACTTCATTTGACATTCAGAGGCGCAGCTTACTATACAAACTTGTTCATACGTAGGTGTTGGGCCCCTTCCTGCAATTGTTTGTTATTATTAACTTTCACTAAACTTCATAATGCATAATTGTCTTCGGGTCTTTTATGTCTTTTTCTGTGTCCATTTTCCTTTTTAAGGGCGGGGAGGGGGGGGGGTTACTACCCACGCCCCATCATTATGTCACTAAACTTATTATATAAAATAAATCACGTTATTGTCAAGCGTGTAGTGGTCTATGTGAATCAGGTGCTAGTGCACTATGGAAAAATACAAAAGATATTTCCTTACACTACAAATATCGGCAATGCCCTTGAGAAAAGTCATCAGGTGAAAAAAGAGTTGGGGGATTCTGGCGATCTGAGACACTCCGATTTGAAACGGTTCCCAGACGTCTAAGAAGCAAACATCCCGACCCACAAAATGGCCGCGTAATTGTGTATTATACCATGACGCTAACAAGAAACGACGTTTCATATCTGGGCACTCCCCACGTCCATAAATTAGACAACAGTTAATTGGGTCAGAGGCTCAAAATGCCATTGTGCATGATGAACTGAATAAATCTGACTAATTATGACTAAGGCTACGACATGAAAGTCTGATGAAGTCTCATATAGATTTCTCTGTGAACATATACCCCTTTTTTACCAAGGGCACTAATGCATTATGTTATGATATACACTTCCTTTGACTATCTCCAGCAAGTT